ATAATAGGCAGACATGCACTCTTTGTATGTTTTATAATGGATTGAACACTACATCTGCTTATCATTTGTCATAAACATCCTTTATTGCTATAATAATACCATGAGCTGCATAAAAAACGTACAGAAAATGTTTTGTCATAATCACGTCTATTTGCTTTCATATTTCATGAATAGAAAAATGTTTCTCAATTTTTTTATATGCGTAAGGGCGGGAGATATGATAACATGATTGACAGATCTTGAGTGAATGCGCTCTGACTCATAACACTCGTGCATGTGGCAGAAAACGCACAGTGTTCCCTTCAGATCACATAATTCAGTGGAGAATGAATAGAAATGATATTCTGTAAGAACATGTGAGAATAAATCTGCTCTCAGATACCAATGATAACAAGAACTCAGCATTGCTCTCTTCCGGGATACTGTTTTTCGGTGTTTGTTTTGTTTTTGAAACAGTGCCACCAATCTCGCCTATTTGTGCAACAGCAGCTGCTCCAGGCGCATGATCTAAAGCTCAAATCTAATTGGATGGCCCGTTTCATCGCAGAGTGTCGGGGGAAAAATTCGACACACAGGTTGGAAAAAAATCCTTGCTTTTTCGCGCCTATTGTGAATGGCTCCATAGTGAACAATCGTTTTTGATTTAAGAGCGTCGTCATGCTGAACATGCACGCCAAATTTTCACGTTCAGTGTGAAAGGGCCTTGAGAGTTCCTGAGAACTACTAGAGGTCCTGTGAGCATGTGTGCATGTTTTATACATGAGTGTGAATGTTTGTTTATGTGCCTGCTTGTGTGGTCCCCTATAAACATTTAACTACAGCCAAACGCGTGTTTCTTGCTCAGAATTGGACTGGATGAATCATCCTAAATGAATGAAGCATGGGGCTCTTCCTGTGTTTGACTGTTTAAGTGTGTGTAGTTGTGTGTTCTGTGCATAGAGTGTCTCACTTGGTCTTGATCCTGATGGTCTGGCAGCTACTGGCTGCCAAAGCAAACTGTGAAGATCTTTTCTTCTGCATTCCCCGAGTGGAGGAAGGGGTCCCCGAAGGGATATGCATGGACATGATGAATAAAATACCTATTGCAAATTCCATTGCTTATTATTTGGCTACTCAATTTAACACAGTAATTAATGTGATTATTATTATTTTTTTTAAATAATGATGTGATAAAAAATGAATGCAATTAATTATTATTATTATATTTTTATTTAACATGGACGTCACAGTTACATTGGACAAACCATATGCACTTGCTTAAGTGTTTTAGCACACATGCTAATTTTCAACACCAGTCCATGGGAGGCTTTTCAGAAAGCAAAAAAAAAAACTGAACTCTTTTTTTTTTGGTGCCGTCAGAGCAATTCAAGCATGAAATACCACTCTTATGCTTTTGCAAAGTCTACTATTACTGCTACTACGGGCAACATGCCTTGCCAATCCACACTTACTGAAAGCACACAGCATAGAAAGAGTGGAGCTGTGCACACAGGTCCAGTTCATGTATTTGAAAAAAAGGAACCCAGCAGAACAAAAAGTTCAAAGTGGAGCTAACTTTTCACAGCATCTTAAAGACAAACTTGAGATGCTGAAAAAGGTATTATGCAATTTGAATAAGATTTGGATTTGACAGCCCTACTTATTGTATGCTGTCAAACTCTTAAATATGTTTTTATTGTTCTTAAAACACTGTCTGCACAAAAAGAGACAGTGAAACAGATCTACAAGTTTTTTTATGTAAGGCAGGCATTCAACCACGTTAAAGCAAGTCCATATGAGAGAAGCTCCTTTCTCTTGCTAATTTGGCAGCCCAAGGCTTGAGAAAATACCCTGCACTTATATGTCTGTTACTGTGGTTAGTTGAGAGTCCAAGTGTTTGCCTGGATTTCTTATTTGGAAATGTTATAAAGTGCTCTCTCTTAAAGGAATAGTTCACCCCAAAATGAAAATATGTTGAAAATGTACTCACTCTCAGGCCATCTAAGATGTAGATGAGTTTGTTTCTCATCAGAACAGATTTGGAGTAATGTAGCATTACATCACTTGCTCACCAGTGGATCCTCTGCAGTGAATGGGTGCCGTCAGAATGAGAGTCCAAACAGCTGATAAAAACATCACAATAATCCACAAATAATCCACACCGCTCCAGACCATAAGTTAACGTCTTGTAAAGTGAAAAGCTGTGTTTGTAATAAATTCATCAAGACGTTTTTAACTTCAAACAATTGGATAATATACAAGTCCTCCGTCCACAATATTGCTTTTTCTATTGGAAAAATCGTCTCATCTGAAACGGGAGAGAAATATGCACAGATCAAGCACCGTTTACAAGCAAATACTGCCTAAAACAGTTGTAAAGAAATATACTGGTGGATTTTGATGTGAGAGGACAACAAGGGATGGACTGAATGGATGGAAGCATTATTATTATTTATGGACTTGCATTTTGGCCAGGAGCGATGGTTTAAAGTTAAAAAGCAGCGTTTCACTTTACAAGATGTTAATTGATGGATGTGGATTACTTGTGGATTATTGTGATGATGTTTTTATTAGCTGTTTGGACCCTCATTCTGACGGCACCCATTCACTGCAGAGGATCCACTGGTGAGCAAGTGATGTAATGCTAAATTTCGCCAAATCTGTTGCAATAAAGAATCAAACTCTTATTTCATGGCGTGAGTACATTTTCAGCTAATTTTACTCCTTTAACTCAGGTGTTCACTTGAAGGTGTAATGTGAGTGGCCAGCGTTTTGTCTGGGCAGATTAATGCATCAGTCTCATCCATTGTGCTTGTTTCCCACAAGACTATGAAGCTTTCAAGAGCTTCAATCCTTGTTCTTAAACCTGAGATGCACATTACATATCTTGCACATTACAGAGCTGAGAACATGTTCTTGTCATAATGACAGCACAAGTAAGCAACGGGAACAGCAGCTCAATATTTAGACACTGAAGTGAAGGCCTGCCGGCCCCCATTCACTGCAGAGGATCCACTGGTGAGCAAGTGATGTAATGCTAAATTTCGCCAAATCTGTTGCAATAAAGAATCAAACTCTTATTTCATGGCGTGAGTACATTTTCAGCTAATTTTACTCCTTTAACTCAGGTGTTCACTTGAAGGTGTAATGTGAGTGGCCAGCGTTTTGTCTGGGCAGATTAATGCATCAGTCTCATCCATTGTGCTTGTTTCCCACAAGACTATGAAGCTTTCAAGAGCTTCAATCCTTGTTCTTAAACCTGAGATGCACATTACATATCTTGCACATTACAGAGCTGAGAACATGTTCTTGTCATAATGACAGCACAAGTAAGCAACGGGAACAGCAGCTCAATATTTAGACACTGAAGTGAAGGGGAAGTTTTAGCCTTAGGGGAACATACAGGATATCATTTGCTGAGATAATCAGTGGTTCGCTGACAGCCTGGAGTTGATTTATGGTTTCCAGAGTTCCTCCTGCAACACTTGATACTTTGCTTTTGTTTGTGTGTCAAAAAAGAAGTAAAAGTATAAATACAGAACAAGTTATTGAAAGGGATTGATCGAGGGTCAATGATATATATTGTATGCTGTCTGATATACTATGCAATAATAGATTGCTATGCAATAGTTTGTTTGGAAAGAAATTAATACTTTTAACCAGAAGATGAACATAAGCTTTAAATTGATCAAAAGTGACCGTAAAGTCATTTTTCTAAAAAAAATAAAATAAATTATAACGGTTTGCACAAAAATATTAAGCAGCACAACTTTTGTCAACATTGATGATAATAAGAAATGTTTCTTGAGCACCAAAGCATATTAGGATGATTTCTAAAGGATCATGTGACAGTGACACTGAAGTCTGGAGTAATGGCTGCTAAAAAAAACAGCTTTGGCATTACAGGAATAAATTACATTTTAAAATATCTTACAATAGAAAACCGTTATTTTAAATTGGAATAATATTTCACAATATCACAGTTTTTGCTATAATTTTGATCATATAAATGAAACCTTGGTGAGCATAGGAGACTTCTTTTAAAAATGTTTTATGTTCCTTATATTATATGTTTTAAAGCATGATATGGATTTTAAAGCATGAAATTGATTTTTACTCACATTTTCCAGGTATTACAGACCTTGTCTTGTGTGGTTTATAGTGGAGTTAATGGGGCTCATTGTAGTTGTGCTTGTTCTGCTGCCCTCTGCTGGTGGTGTTGAATGTGATGTGTGATGTGGCATTGCGAACTCCCCTTTCTCTGCCTTCAGTGCTCAGACCTTTAAAAACACCACACAGTCATATTTTGGCAAGCACAGCAAAGCTTGCAGCTATAAAAATGGAAATTCTGCATAAACAGCAATTTTCTTGTGTGTTCCCAATATGCTCCAGGACAGTTTTGGGACTGTGGTTTTGTAACTGACCAGATCCACTTAGACTTACTGTACTGACAGTTATAACCCAGCTTTCATTGTTTAAAGCACAAAAAAAAAAGCTGTTGAATGTACATATATATGTATGTATGTGTATTCTATCTGCTTTTGTGAGCAAATCATATTTATAAAATCAAGTAACATTGATTAAAGATTAAGTTTATAAAATTTGTTGACATGTTTTTAATATGAGTTTGTGTTGCAATATGATTAAGTTTTGTTTGGTTTTAATTAGTCCTTCCTGAACTGATTTTTATTAGTTTATTAGTTTGTACTGAACCGTTAGGGCTTTCTAAATGTGATTTTTCCACAGCTGAGAAAAATGAAAAAAATAAATAAAAATTCCTAGAGATGTGGCTATTTTTAGAAAGGAAAAAACACTCCAGAAAGTTTGTTTGTGGGTTTTCCACTTCAAATAAAGGAAAAAATGCAGAAAATTTTTTTTCCTATTGGTAACCATGAATTCCCTCCGCACATGCTAAACTACACCCACAGCATGTGACATGTTGTTAACCGTATCTGTAGCGTATCTGTAGTTTTGATTGGTGAATCTGTGCTCACTGTTTTCTGTCATGGTGTCCCTCACAGGTGGATAACGCCAAGGTTCTTCACTATGTTGGAGCAGGGGTGGCCTTCCCCACCAGTATGCTGCTTGTGTGTCTGCAGTCTGCGCTGACCTACCGCCTGGCAAAGACTCAGGGAGAATATAATGTGGGTCATTTGCGCCTCTTTATGACCCTGCTGGCCTTTGTAGCCCTGGTGCTTAGTATCCTTTACACTATCACTCATCCTCATGTTATTATATTGGATATTTGTATTAGGGTTGTAAATCAGTTTAGATTATTAGATATTATTAATGATTTGCTCTTTATTCATTTATTTTCTATTCATTATACCACCATTTCTCAAACCACCAAAACCAATATCAAAACAGCTGATTGCTTCTGTATGTGTTATTCTTATTTCTAAATTCCTTTTTAAAATATCTTTAAAAATGTATTAAAAATATTAAACACTGATTTTAGATTTTTCAGTATGCATTTAAATGCACAGGTAATGCAAGCACCGACCTCATTGCAAATCTGCAAAGTAAAATAAATATTGTAACAATTTTGCCACACTTTATTCATATAATACTACATTTGTAACAAAACGTTTTTAATTAGACTAAACAACCAAAGCGAATTTGGTGAGTAGCCTGAACTTTTTTTTCTCAATTGGATTTGCTGAAATCAAATTGACTTTGGAGGGTGTGTGGTTGAAGTTAACAGAATTAAACAGCTATGATGTAAAAAAAAAAAAAGCATTAAAAACATTAATGGATTAATTTCAACAGCTGTAACCTGTAGCTGTTATTTTTTCATTGGTCATGTTTATTGTTGCAATATTCTCAGATCTCACTTATTCCCAGAATATCCTGTTGTATTGAGCTTTCAGGTTTTGCACTTCTTTTCTTTCCCAGTCAGTGAGTTCATACATGTTCTTCCTGTAATGCAAACAGGCCTTAGAGTTCACTATGATTCCTTGATGAAACTTTCCTCAGGCGGGGTGTTTTTTGTCCAGGAGAGTTTTGTCCTGCAACATGCATCAGCCATTTTCGAGTGGGTCTTCTGTCTCATTATTATGCTGTTCTACGGCACATTCGCTTTTGAATTCGCCGGGATATCTAGTGACACAATGATGGTGCTGGCCCGAGGGCAATCTCTACAGTCCGTAAGCCGAGACCACAAAATAGAGTCTCTTGCTGGGGCCAGTCAGCACCAGCCTGAGAGCCTGTCCATACTGTAACCTCAGTGTCCTGTATCTGCCAATCTCCCTCAGCACTAGAAAAGAACACTACAACCGCAGCGGGAAAGTGACAGAAACTGGACCTGGCTCTCATACAACCGGCTTACCTTTTGCCAAAGAATCCAGCTCAGATTTTGCACATTATTGAGAGATTTCTTCACTCTTTGGGGACCTTTTGAATCGCACAGCTTCCATACTGGGAAAAACAAAGTTCATTGCCAGGATGTGTTGGAGTTTCCATTAGATCTCATTGGGATTTTGAAGTATCTGTGTTACTTGGATAAAGGAACTACAGACTGCTAGTTGGCTAAACTACATGCGTCCATTGGTGAAACTAGAGGACCGCTGCATCAATAGCATAATAAACTAATCCGAAGCCTTCTGCAACACTCAAGCATTTTAACAATGGTTGTCATGCCAATTCCAAACATTGCAAGACAATGGATCCAAAAATGCTGATGTTTTTCTGTGCCTTTAGGTTTTTGTTTTTTTCAAAGGCAGTGATGGTTAAATCATATAACATTTTATTGTCACATATCTCTGCTGTTTGATAACTGATCAAGGTGGTTCATTTTGCCTTAATCACCATATGCTGTCTGAAATGTATTTTTCAGGAGATTGTCATTACCAGTGTGCCTTATACCAAAAACCAAATACTGATATTTAATAGAAATGTATGTCAATTGCCTTGAATATATAAGGCATGTATTTTTTTCATATGCAGCAAAAATTATGCTAGTTGTAAACAACTAAGCTGAACGAGATCAGCAAAAACTTCTCGCGAAACTGGTGCATAAACTTATCACATTAAGTCTCCAGTAATTGGTAGAGTCTATGAGTATTGCTGTACATTTTGACCAAATGTAATTGAGAAGAGAGTTCTGTGGTCAGTGTGATCATAGGTTTCCCTCTTTCTGTCACTGTGGGAATTGTTGTGTGTTGAGTGGGGGGTTTACGGGAGTTACAAGGAAGCGTCTAGTAATGAAAGACTCAGAAGCTGCCCTTTAATGTAAAGGGTGACTAGTTTAGGTGTCTTAGATGTACAGTAGGTCTCTGTGAGCTGTTTTTTTTTGCAGACAAAATTACTTGCAGCAGGACTGCAAGTTTATAATTGATTTTGTTTGTTTTGAAAAAACAGATGCAGTTTGGTTTATATTGGTCAAATGTTTTCACACTACCAGCATGACAAAAAAATCATATTGTTCCTCAGTCATTATCAAGGGAGTTTTGTCATTTAATTTGTCAGGATAAGAGCCATATTTATGCTTCTCACCATTTGATTCCACCAGTGCTGTCCTGAAAACATCTTTCATGTCATTTCAGTTTGCTAATTCTCTTCGCTCAGGAATTCAGATCTGTCTTTTGCTGTCACATATCTTCTCTCTGTGTTCCAGACTGCATTGATCCACCAGATATGAGTAAAAGTTTAACTGTTTCAGTTACTTATTTAGAACATTTCCTCCATGTAGCCAGAGAGCTTTATTTTGCTTGGATTGCATCATTGGGACTGTTAACCCCATAAATTGGTTTAATTTGTTGTTTAAACCATTGACTCAGAAGTACTTCTGATATTGCGTAAAGAAATCATTCATCCAAAAATAAAACTTCACCATATACTCAACTTCATTTTTTTTTAATTCAAATGCTGTTATGTTCCCTGTGGAAGTCAAAAGAAGAAATTTGACGAATTGTTGTGCAGCTTTATTCCACACCGGACTATTCACAGTAATGACCACCATAAAAGTAGCTCATAACACTTTTTTTTGGTGCTTAACAGACATGGTCACCATGAGATTAATTTTTAAAGTAACAAGCAAAGAACCTGCATCTTCAAAAGTCTGCAACTATTTTCATTTTGTGTTTCAAAGGGGGAAAAATAAATAAGAGGTCAACGTGAGGGTGAAAAGGTCATTTTTGACTAGTTAAGAAACCTGTTAAGAGTAATTTTCCTGCGTTACCTTTTGCCTAGACTTGTGTTCCTTCATGTATTATCTATTAAGTTTGCTTAAACTTGGACTCTGGAGTCTGACGGTCAATAGCTGTACTGTTGCAAACATGCTGTCATCATTCAACAAGACTCTGCCACACATTAGCATTTAATGATATACAAGATAGCAAAAAATATCTTCATGTGCCTTTGTTTCAACCAAAGACTGAATCACTCATTTTTAAATTTGCCTTAAAATGTATGGAAATAAAGCAGAATCAAACATTACTCTCATTAACTTTTCTCTTATCTCTGTGAATGAACTTTGCTTAAGTCATGTAGACTGTCACACAATTCCTGTTAGTGGTCACCATGGCCTTGGAGTTTATTTAAACACATTCGAATTTGTTATTCTTGTTTGACTTATCAAATGCTTTGCTTCAGTCATGCTGGTTGGCATATTAACCAATAAACGAGTCATTTATTGTGTTTAAAGACATCCATTCTGACACCAGACATATATGAAGAATTTTCCACACTTTTAATTATTCACAATTATTTACATGTCAGATCTCAAATTCAATCTTAAAGACAAAAGTTGAAAATCTGAAAGAAAACGGTAAGAATAAGATGGTTTATAGAGTTTTTAAGGGTTAATGCCTCTGACTCCGAAGTCTAAAGAAAACAAATGAGTGGCTTTCACACACATCTCAAGTGTGCAACATTATCTGGCTTTGTTCATAACTGAAGTACATAAACACACATACACATGCTCACTGTCCAGTGGTGACAATTAATGTAAGACCAGCACAGGATCTGTACACATAAACAACAATATTCTAAAAATATCCCTCTGCCATTATCAAACATTAATGAGATTAATACAGTCACAAATGAAGCATAAAAAGCTAATGTTCTTATGATGCAAGAAAAAGGCACACAAATTAGACCCTTTTAAGACTGTAAATATGATGCAAGGAATATGATTCTCAGATTGTATAACATGTATAAAACCTAAAGCTCCCAATGGTTCACATTATGCTTATAACAACACGTTGCTGTAACTCAGGTTACAGCCACAATGAAAACCCGATTAAATAGTAGCTATTTGACTCATGATAGAGGAAAAGAAATTGCAATGTAGTAAATTACGAATAATTGTGATTTACATAATTTTAAGTATAAAGCTGAAATGTGTTTTTTCCCGTTTTTCCGAACCCTCCTCCGTTGATCGGAAAAACAGATAGGCTATTCCCGCCCAAAACTCCCTCCAGTGTTGCTGCTGACAGAGTAATATTTTGATAGCACCACAGAGTCACAGTACTTACACTTTTTAAAGTAATTAATCTGATTACTTAAAGTTGATTACTTTAAGTTTTCTCTATGGCAAGCTGGGATAGGACGCACTTCAGTTTTAAGGAATGATCGATTGTCATGAGTGTCGACGTGATGAAACAGTTGTGAGGGATCCTTTCACAACAGACGTCTTTTCATTTATCAATCTTTACATTTACAGTATATTCATCTAATCTGAAATGTAGCATATGCGGGAAGAGAACCAAAATCAGTTGAGAGAGGAGCGCTGGAGGAAAGAGCGACTGAATGACTGAAGGTAGGACTCGCACGCCTCTAAACCTTGAGACTCTTGGCCGTCTCCCAGGGGAACTCTGATCGGCCAAAATGACCGTAGCAGGCGGTGCTCTGGTATATCGGCCTCTTCAGGTTCAGGTCCCTGTCAGTGGAAATTGAGTTAGTTAGTTAGCTTTTCACCAAACAGCCCACACCTGAATCCTACTTGAACCAAAACTGTTCTTAATTTAATCAAATGTAGACTACCAGATTTATGTAGCCTATGTAACCCCTCTCTCCTGGGTCCTCTCCGCCACACCTCGTTCTGAGTGGGTTTCGAACCCGGGTCTCCGGCATGGGAGGCGGACGCACTAACAAGGAGGCTAAAGACTGCAGCCTACTTATTGGCCTCCGTTACACTTACATAGGTACTTATTAAATATTTGTACTAAATTTATATGTTATACTATGTATAATGCGTTCTGAATTAATTTGAATTAAGAGACACCTAATACAAAGTAGAACCGCCATTTCGAGTACATTGGTGGTAGTGATACTCCCCCTGGAGGAAAAACTGGGAAATGCCATGTTTACATATATTACTATGACGATAGAGCAGGATTGTAACCAGTGTAATTCTTTTCTTCTTCTTTTTTCTTTTTTTAGTTCATGTCACATATTTTTAAGATCCAGTATACACACACTGTTTTATGGGGACTTCCCATAGATGTAATGGTTTTTATGCTGTACAAACTGTAGGCCTAAACCTACCCCTCACAGAAAACTTTTTGCATTTTTAGATTTTCAGAAAAATTTATTTAGTGTTATTTATAAGCTGTTTTCTTAATGGGGACCAAAAAATGAATTCACAAGGTCAAAAATTACTGGTATTACTATTCTTATGGGGACATTTGGTCCCAATAATGTAAATAATACCAGGTACACAAACACATATTCATAATATTACACCTTTGAATATGCCCAAAGTGGTGCAAACATGTGAACTTGAACTAAGTTAGTCAGAATGTGCAAGTCATGCTGTAAATACACTTAACACAGTAAAACCTGGACATTAAATGACTAAAGTGTAAAGAATTCACAATATTGTATTACAGTAGTGCCCTCGATATTTCAAGAGCTTTCACAAGGACAGTTTTCACTTGCTGTTTTTGTTAAATATTGATAAATATTGTTTAAATTAATATATAAAATGTTAATTTGGTTTTATTTTGTGCTTACTCATTGACTAAAATGTTGTTTTCATCTACTAAAAGTAGGCTAGATGATATTTTACTCTAAGCAAACCTGTTTGGATGGGTATAACATTACTTGGCACTTACTGAACAGATGTAATAACAGAATAATTCTCCCTTATTTTAGTGAACTAAATTCCATGTAAATAATGTCTCCCTCTATTTTAACTCACCCACACAAAATACTGAAATTAACCATTTGGTTTTTAAGGCTGAAAAACAGAAATAGTTGTTTTCTCTTCATAAAGTAGAAGAACATAATAACAACGTATTATCTTATTGTTTACCTAACAATGACACCTGGTCGGAGGTCAAAGTTCTTGTTGACAATCTGTAGCAACTCCTTCTCTGTTTTTTCCGATGAGCCATAGGTGAAGAGGGAGATTGAGAGAGGGTGCGCGACTCCAATGGCATAAGACACCTAGTTTTAATCCATACCAGATAAAATTTGTCAATAATGTGGATCAACTTTTTTGTCTAGACACAACCTTATACATTGTTCACAGTTTTTAAACTGGTAAGATGTTATTGAAGGTGTCTACACTTTCGTCTCACCTGAACCAACACTCTTCTGCACAGTTTGGCCTTCACCAGAGACTTAGCCACCCAGCGTGCAGCATAGGCAGCAGAGCGGTCCACCTTGGTGTAGTCCTTTCCAGAGAAGGCCCCACCACCATGAGCCCCCCATCCACCATATGTGTCTACAATAATCTTCCTACCCGTGACACCAGCATCTCCCTGAAAAGCAAAGATTGTTTTATGGTTTAATGAAAATTCTGTCATCCTCTTGTCATTCCAAACCAATAGGCAGTTATTTTTTCCTGTGGAAAAACAAAGGGAGAATTTTGTGAAGAAACATGAAACAGCTCTTCATCTTAATGAAGCTCACCATGGCTCGCCATGTTCCGCTACAATGTCAGAGCCAGTGCTGTTTTGGTGTCGATGTTAAAAGTGCATTATACAACAGTGTTCCATACAACCAATTGACAGAAGGTGCTCACCTGAGGCCCTCCGATGACAAAGCGTCCACTTGGCTGCAGATGGTAGACAGTATTATCGTCGAGATATTTTGCTGGCACCACAGCTTTGATGACCTTCTCCTTCAGAATACGCTGCTGCTCCTCCAGTGAAATGTAGTCATCATGTTGGACGGAGATGACCACTGTATGGACACGCAAAGGTATCACAGCGCCATTCTCCTGTTTGTAGTGCACAGTGACCTGGAGTTGTGGAAATCATATAGGAAAACATTTTTTTGACATAGGGAATTTGAAGGACATTTCCTTCTGTACGTATGAAAATGGCAGAACTCTAAAATAGACCAGAGGTTTCAGCTTCCTGAAAACTGTCCAGCTTGAGTTGCTGGCATGCTCCTGAGATTGACGGGTGCACAGCCGTGTCCTCTGTCCCACTGTGAAAAGTAAGGACCGGAGGCCTGGATGTCATGCTGGGGGTCATTTTCTCTCAAGCATTAAAAGAGACCGCCTCATGGTCACTATCTTGCTCAACAGGCGTCACACCTATTGGCCAATGTGTTGATTCAATGAACACTTGTCAGATAAGATAGCATGGTCAATGTCAGTCAGGGGCTTTGAACCTGCACATTGTGGCTTTAAAGACTCAATTATATAAACTTTCGAATACAAGTGTGCAAAAGTAACTTCACAACCTTTTTGGTTTTTCTTCTAAGCATAACATTTCGTTTTTTCATTCTTGTTTTGCTGACCTGAGTTTTTGAGTCTGGGCGGAGCCATGGGATGGTGCCATCCCGCCGCAGTTCGGCCATTTTGGCATTGAGTTTGTGAGCGAGGACAATTGTGAGTGGCATGCACTCCTCCGTCTCATCAGTGGCATAGCCAAACATGAGCCCCTAAAACACAATGGAAATGCAAAATGAGGATGTTTATCACGAATTATGTGCTCAAACACATTTTTACACATCCGTTGTGTTCGGACCTGGTCTCCAGCTCCAATGTCTTCTTCATGTCTGTCAATGTGGACACCCTGCGCTATATCAGGAGACTGCTGCTCGAGAGCCACCAGCACATTGCAGGTTTTATAGTCAAAGCCTGAACAGAGGAAAGAGTGGGAAAAAATGGTGGATGAGTTAGTATAGATCAGGGCTGTCCAAACTCGATCCTGGAGGGCCGGTGTCCTGCAGAGTTTAGCTCCAACCCTAATTAAACACACCTGAACCAGCTAATCAAGCTCTTACTAGGCATAGAAACTTCCAGTCAGGTGTGTTGAGGCAAGTTGGAGCTAAACTCTGCAGGACACCGGCCCTCCAGGACCGAGTTTGGACAGCCCTGGTATAGATCAAAAGTACCAGGCGGTATGCTGAATATCAAAATATGTATTGCTCCTGACCTTTTTCAGAGTTGTCGTATCCAATGTGTTTAATGGTGTCACGCACAATATTCTGGTAGTCAACGTTGGCCCGAGATGTGATCTCACCGCAGAGAAGTACCATACCAGTCTTACAAACAGTTTCTGATGATTAAAACAACCTTAATTACACTCTAAAAATGCTGGGTTGTTTCAACCCAACTTTGGGTCAAATATGGACTAACCCAATCGTTGGATTAAATTTTTAACCCAAAAGCTGGGTTAGTCCATATTTGACCCAAAGTTGGGTTGAAACAACCCAGCATTTTTTAGAGTGTAGTCAAACGACCCTTAAAAAATGGAAGTTGCCACTGTATAATCCATTGCTAGGTTAAATTTAGACATGAAGATGTTATCCATTTAATTGCCCTTAAACTTTAGGGACAGAAAGAGTACAAGAAATGGTCACTCTATAACTGAACAAGCGTCAAGATAAGTGACCAGCTGTTGGACTATAAACTTTCAAAGAGTATATTGACACTCGTGCTTATACAGAAGGATTTTATGTGTTTATTTTGTTTGTGATTAAAAATGTTCACTCACCACAGGCCACTTTAGCATCCGGGTCCTGCTTCAAGTGTGCGTCAAGAACTGCATCACTGATTTGGTCACAGATTTTATCTATTAACGAAATCACACCATAATAAAACTAAGTTATGTAATGATTCAGATGAAGGTTCAAGTGTGCATTTAAAGTTATAACACCAGAAAGTTTCAGTTGAAATTCAGAGTTGAAATGCCTGTCCTATAGCAAGACTGTAGGACATAGGAATCCCGACAAAGCAAAACCCCAGCTGAGCAGCTGGAGGACAATACCGGTGGTCCTCTCCTTTCAGAATCATTCACTCAGTCTATATTTGTGCTGCTAGCTGAGGCAACAGTTTAGTTGAGTTACATCAGAAACTACGCTGTCAAAAACAACATCTCAGGTGATAATATAAGACAAACAAGGCAAATCTATGAGGTCGCTTCAGTCTGGAGCATTATGGAATAGATTTTTTTGCGTCCTGCACATGTACACCTATTGATTGATCTGCTGAAATATGTGCTGATGTGAGATGTTTAGCAAGACTCTCAAAATTGTTCATGTGAACCAGACAGGTTTGCAAAATTTGTCTAGGAGGAACCAGACCGGATTAGATTAAAAGTCATTAAAACTCATTAAGCATCATTAAGTTTTCTTTAAAGAAGGTTTGAAATATGTATTGTGAAATGTTAATCAAACTGACTTGACAAATTTCAGGAGTGCAGCATATGAAACTGTTTATAGCACTTTGGCCTTGTAGCATGACATGAGAGAACCGCAGTATGGTCGATAAGAAATGTGAGGTCTGGCAAGTTCCCACCTGAAACAGAAATAACTACTGAAGCAAAATCTGTTGGCATACAGGTGTGCCAATAATTGACTCATTATACAGCCATGGGATGGTGTCATAATCAAATCATTCTTTGCATAAGTAAGTTCATTATGAAATAAATTGCATAGTAAATATGTAACTGAGAAAAGCCACCAAGTGATAGGCAGGAATTTAACACCCTTGTAAAAGTCATGACCCCTAATTGACTATTTTTGTCTACTACACTTTCACTCAATGAAATACCAGCTAAGCACATGGTACTGTGGAAGTATTGTTACTGAAAGTGTGAATGAACCCCATTGAACTGTTGCTTAAGCAGCTTATTTCTGTAGGAACTGTTGTTTAACCAGCTCACAACTTCTATATGCTCCAATGACTTGTTGAGGCAGGTGAATTCGTCTATAGGTAGCTACATGTCTTTAGGGTTTTTCTCCAAGCAAGCACCCAGGTAAAGAATACAAAAGTTATGTAGTACATACTACAAAGTTTTAAAAAGCACATTTTTGAGAGTTTAATTTAAAAGTTCAGATTGAAAATCACCTGGATGCCCTTCTCCCACAGACTCTGAGGTGAACATGAAGGATCCGTCATCATGAACGTCATTCAGTCCTTCCATGTTTGCCAGCAACTGAACAGATCTTCAAAATCAACAGGACAAAGTAATCTATCAAATTCTTAATAATTTTCCTCCAACTGTGGTTAAAGCAGGCCAAGTATGCAGAACTTCTTATAGTCCCGAGGGTATAGAAGAAAGATAGAAAGAAAGTGAGGTTTACAGATAGTTCACAGACTATATAACACACAACCTCATCTCAGCAAGTTTGCCCCTATATATGGCAGAAAGAAAACACACACACTAAGCTTTACTCACTCTCTCACTCACAAATATACACACATACACACGTGTCATGTGAACTAGTGGGGAAGACCATTCCAGGGGGTGTTGTTTGAGGGGAGGACATTCAAACTTTCAGAAACACTCTGTTAACCCCTTGTGCGCTCAGCTCTGTAATAGGAAGGTTTTCTTTGTGGTGGGAGGATTGCTGTTGTCAGTGGACATAGTGGACACTTGTGGGCTTGAAATCATCCTCACATCACACTAATAAGTATCAGGGCTGGAGCTTTTACAAACAGACCTGAACTTTGTGGAAAAGTTATGTCAAGTAATATAAAATCTGAAGGGGTGTGGTGAAGTTGCAGATGTGATTGAATTATACAGCACTCCTCTCATTTGAAAAGGACATGTGCTTGGCAAAAATGTATTTTTCTGTGGTAGTGTAATAAATGTATTGCAAAAACCTTTTAAAAACACTGTGGTTTAACGTATAACAATCAAGGTCTGTTCCAAGACATGTTGTCCTTATCTTTGTTTGAACTGTCTATGCTTAGACTGTGCTTATAATGTGCAGGTTTTGGATTATTATGTATCTTGATATGACCACTTCTTATTTCCATTTCTGCTGTCAATTGTAGTTTGAAGATTTCCACATTCTCAATTAAATGTTCCATTTCAAAGCTTCAAAGGTGCAATATGGGTCAAGCCAGGATGTGACCAAGGGTTGAAATGTCAAATTAGGAAGACCCACTGGATCACAACTTTGCAAAATTAATGTATTTATTAATTATTGTAGCCTAATAGTGTACATAATTTATTTTTATACATTTTATTTTGTTGCTTCATTCTCTGATCTGGGGTGTTTGAGTTGCATACCACTAAATCTCTCTCAAAATCTCAAAATATTTCAAGAGCTCTAAAACATGAATTTGAGCTGAATAATGACAATTTTGGGTTGCTTTGCAGCAGAATTTGAATTCGTCTCACTTAAGTCTGCATCACTGATTCTGTTATTTCCTTGTTTATTACTGTGACACTGCCTTAAAACAATCTAAAGCGCTATATATATAATGGTGACTCGACTTGATAGAAGGCAAGTTTATTGTCATTTAGTAAACACTTAAAGAAACTTTTAGTACAGGCCCTCCCCAGTCTAATGCCCTGCTGTCAAATGCAAAATTGGTGACATGGCAGGATTGTGATCTTAGTTACTCTCCAGTTCTTTAGGCACCCCTACATAGGATTAAACATTCTGCTTTTACATTTGAGCAGAAAGACAAACAAAATCTATAGGAACCTATAGGAATGACCTAACTTTACCCAACTGACTGAACTGTGACAGTGGATTGCATAGATGCTGAATAAATGTATTGATGCTTTTCTGTGAACAGATGTGTTTAGCATAAGCATTATAATGTTATAATTTTGCAGTTGGTGAGAAGTGTAGAAATTTTATTTTGGGGGGAGAATTTTTAGCGAAAAAATTAGTCAATGAAGTGAGATGGCGAGACAAAGGTCAGTTTCTTGTTGAACTGAGACATGAGACATGTGGCATAAAAGATGAACTCTGATAAACAACAACAACAGCAAAAACACTGGTAATTATGTCCATTGACAATTTGAAACTACACACGGACAAACAGGTGAGCACGTGAGACCACACTTCATGAACTATGGTCCTTCAGCTGTGAGTAGATATGTGGTAGCTGTTCAGAAATGGCCCAACAATCTTGTCAGAAAACAAACCCGAACAAACAGGATCAGAAAATTGAACGGATGCAAGCAGGTCTATAATGAGCTGGTTTAAAAGTTCATGGCTGATAGTCAGTAGCCCTGTGTACTGTGTGTGTATGACTGGTCCACTCCTGGTCTACATATATGACAGAACTATTCATGTCCAATAATCCACAGCTATTGCTGTTTTTTTAAATCACATGGAAAGAAATATAGACCTATCCATTATGCTGATTTCAAGACCTGTACCAATAAACTCCTAATTTGCTGTTTATTAATAGTTCGTAAGTTTGTTAAGTTTAGGAATTGGGTCGGGTTAAGCGATCTAAAAGATGGTCATGCAGAATAAGGCATTAATATGTGCTTTATACGTAGTAGTAAACAGCTAATATGCTAGTAATATGCGTGCTAATAAGCAACTAGTTAATAGTGAGAATTGGTCCCTAAACAAAAGTGTTAACAAATGTTTAGTTATAGAGGATGTTCAGCATTCTAACCAAGTTCTCTCATTGTACCTAAAACTCCTACTGTACAATAATATTTTAGGTACTGAAACTCAGATATGATTTAGACCCATTCCTCCAAACAGAGTTTAGTGGGATGACACAGCTCAGTTTTAAAAAAAAAGCCACTTTTTCAACTGGACAGTAATGGGGACAATTGTAGGACATTCACCTCTTTTCATGTGTCACCCTAGTGTTCATTTGTCCTTGTGTTTGAGATCATTGTCCAGCTAAAAGATTAACTTTCTCCTACGCTTTACTTTCAGCAGACTGTAACACTTTCTCCAATGGTATTTCCATCCATTCTTGTTTGATTTCAACAAGACATATAGTCATTCTATAGGGAATGCCATCATCATATTGCAATTTAGATGTTTTAAAGTGTGGGCATTGTTTGTATTTTTACTATTTTTTACAAAAAAAGCTGGTTTTGTGGTTATTTGACCACAACAGCTTGTTAATGAGCTTTTTGGCAAACTTCAAATTTCGCTTCTTTTGTATCACTCAAACACAGAGGCCTGTTATGCAGAGCTTTGTTGACTGGTGCACCTTAATAGGGTAGTTGGTTTCTGAATTCTTCAGAAATTTTAAGGCATTTCTGTGTGTTTTAATTCTTTTTAATTCTTTTAATTTATCTTTCTTGTCAACCAGGTTCACTCACTGAAAATGAGCACTTAATCTTTATCTCTTTATCCAGAATATGATTCCAGTTGGTGTGGATGAGGTGCATCATTTTAGTTTTATCAGGAAGGTGTTATTGTTGCTTCTGCTTCATGCAAGAGAGAGAATTAATACATAATAATAGCATAATGTATAATGCATAACAAGATATTATGTTGATCTTCAGTGCTTAGAAATAGAATATATTGTACATAAAACATTATGTGGATATATGCATGTGTTTTATGTCTTTATGTTAGGTAGGTCAGTTTTTGTATTAAGATGATGATGTAATTGTGGCAAAAGTACACAGGTTGAAAGGTTGATGTTAGTTGAGGTGAAAAACATCTGTTTATATTTTGTTACCATTCTCTTGGTACAAAACGTATGTGGCTGATGCTGATTGGTGTACGGCGATAAACACAACTAGTCACCTGCCCTGCCCCATTTTTTTAAAGGTAAACTCTTTAGATAAGCATGGAGGAGTGAAGTGCGTCAGCCAATGGCTAACTGAAATGAGGACGTTTAGTAGGTGGGGTATGTATGCTTACAGCTGATTGGCCTGTAACCCAGACACATGGGTAAGACAGAAACTCTTGAAAGTGCTCCAATGAGACCTAGGTGAACTTTACAGTTGGTGCTGGGTATGAAACCTAAGCTGAGTCTCTGATTTGAAACTCTGCCATCTATTTATGAACTTTCATTATGAACACAGTAAATCAATAAACACATGCAGTCTCCACCCCGATACTCACTGCCATCTCATCACCAGTTTAGAGCCTTCAAACTAAACCTGAAGTCACTGTGCATGAAGCATGGAACACAGATGAATTATACTACATTTATTTTGATTAAAAATACAATTAAGTGCTGTGTTACTGTGTCACTGCTTCATTGTCATTACTGTAATAATCAGCTTGAATTACTGCAACCGCGGTTGCTGCTATAACAAATGAAGGACGTTTCCCACGTTGGCTCGGCAGTCGGCTGGAATGTAGCAGCTGCAGGATAAGGTGGGATGTTGGGACAACTTTCATCTCAGCACATTCCAGCCTACAACAGCCAGAAGCAACTGGCCTCTGCCCCTCTCCCCTAAAAATAACTATTACCACCAAAACAGAGCTGGCCCAGATCCACTAACCTAACTGTATCATCTTACATAATCAAGTTCTTAACACTTGTAAGCAAACACACCTGGGACTGGCTATGTGCTAATGTAGTGGAAAGAGCTCAGGAACTCATGAAGTACAAACATATTCTGCAAATATCTGTGTTGAATTTTCAGAAAGATGTGATGTTCACTTTATTTCTGAAATATATCACTTTATGGCTGAGATTATTATGAGAGCCTCACAAAATTAACATACCTAAATGAACTTTTCCACGACATTCTAATTTATTGAGATGCACCTGTATATGTCCTAATTGTCACATAGGCCTAAATCAATGTGCAATTTTATTAGTGTATACAGGGCTCTCGTGGTTATAATAATGTCCTCAAAACATGTGTACAAAGATAAAAATGGCCAAACATCTTCTCTTGGTACACATCTTCTCCAGGACCACAGTGACATATCTTCATTTGTACATAAAGCAATAACAGGTGCATGAAATAACAATCAACAGATGTACATTTTTGGATGGATAGATCATCAGTATCCACAGCAGAGAGTCTGTCTGACCCATAAGAGTGTAATGTACAGAATATTTTAAAAGGTAAATGCTATATAGATAATGCCAGCTGCTCCAGGTACAGGGCTGTACATTAGCCTGTAGAGGGCAATAATGTGCTATATCAGCAGTATAGATATTGTATACTTTACTCTTTTTCTATTGGTGGATACTGTATGCCCAGTGAATTCAGTACCTTCAGTACACTTTAAGTCATATTTTCATTTCAAGTCATATTTTAGGTCAGTATTTTAAATTAATATATTTATGAATATTTGTTTAGAATTCCCCATTTATGTTACAACATTTTATAAACCAACATAAGCAGTTATCATATAATTATGTCATGATATTTCAATATCCTAAATATTATCTGTTAGTACAAAAGTAGTGGAACTAAACTTTCTGTATTTGATGTCATCTCTGTAATGAGTGTTCGCTGCTCTACTGCACTCCTATACAGACCTCTTCCTTAA